TATGTCTACATGGAATTCCTTGTCTATAAAATAGCTTGCAAGAACATGTGGTGTCATAGTGAGTTGAATTAAACACAACATCAAATGTTCTAGTCCGATTTTCTTCACTTACTTTTGCAACTTCCAATCCATTTTCTTTCTTCAATTCATCAACACCACAAGAAAAACAAGCAATTCAACCTCATATTGAAATTCATGAAAGACAGAGTTAGTATATAAATGTGAGGCATGCTTTTCTATCCCTAGTGGTGTTTTGCACTCAGGATATTTGTGCTTTGAATCATTATCATTCTGACCTTGAGTGTGTCTTTGGGCATCAATTGCAGCTTCATATCTCAAGTAAAACTCAACAAGTGACACATGAGGATTGATGAAGGAGTAGAAAAAGTTGTTTTCACTTTCGGATCTTGATGTTGTACGCATTATTCCTCCAAGGAACACATATTTGAAATACACCGGAATCCACTTGTCCCTTATCTTGTACATATAACCTAACCACTCATGTTCTTCCAAGTGGTATTCAACCATAACCTTGTTCCACCTTTCTTCAAACTCAGCGGGTTCAATTTCAAGATGCCAAACGTAAGCACATATTTTATTTTAGGAAACCAGTTTCTTCTTGCATGATTGATTTCTCCACCTTATCTGATAATTTTTTCATTATGTGCCACATACAGAACCGATGTTCAGTCTTCTTAAACACACTTGTAACAGCAATTTTCATTGCTGGATACCTAACCACTCATGTAACTAATTATTTGCTCATTTGTAAAATGAGCAAATAACTCAATGCTCATTTGTGAAATAAACAAACAATTCTTTGCTCTTTTGTTAAATGAGCAAATAATTGAATGCTCATTTGTCAAATGAGCAAATAATTCAATGCTCATTTGTCAAATGAACATGCAATTCAATGCCCACATACATACTCTTATCAAAGAAATTAGACTTATGGGGATATTCACTTTTCACATTGAAGTAAGCAAACAATTATACTAAGTTCATTTAAAACAAAGTCATTAAGTTAAGCCATAGTTATAACATAGAAATGAATTGTGATTATTATGTATTACCTATTGGTTTGGTATGTGGTATCAAAGGATATCATATCACCAAATAGAGCATAACTCTTTAAACAAAGGGGGTTTGCCCACGATGCTCTACAAAGGCAATAATCTTCATCCATCTCAAAATCAAAGAAAAAAGCGCTCCACATTAGCTTTTTGTTTGTAAAGTTATCCACGAACATTTGAGCATCACTTCCTTGAATGTATGCTTTTAAATATCTATGAATTTTTTTGAAATCTTGCTTAGATACAACAATGTTATCATATCCTCTAACAATTTCCTTTATCATTCGAAAAGTTGTAACGGAACCAATATTCAACTATTTAAAGAACAAAATAGTTTGTCAAATGAGCAAATAATTCAATGCTCATTTTTAAAATGAGCAAACAATTCAATGCTCATTTAATTATTTGGTTGCTCATTTCAACAATTTAATGCTCATTTTTCAAAAGAGCAAACAGTTTAATGCTCATTTTTCAAATGAACAAACAATTCAATGCTCATTTTTCAAATGAGCAAATAATTATTTGCTCATTTGTCAAATGAGAAAACAGCTTTTATTAGAACATATAGAGAATTCATGAAACATAAGAGACTTGAAAGTGTTACCTTAGAATTATTCACAATTATTTTTTTTGTGCAATATGTTCATTTTCCTTCGTTCTTTTTGGAAGAGATTGCAACTAGGTGTATAAAGTGCATGAGTATGTCCCTCATGAAATTGTGACACTATGAATTTGTTATCATCACAATGTTTTATGACAATATGTGCCTTGCACCCAACACGAGTAACGAGTCTCTTCCTTTTGATTGAAGCTTTTTCTTCATTGCTTTCTCCTTCCTTGTTATTTAAATATTTTTCAACAGTAGCCTTTTTTTTCCTCTTTGTATCCTTCCTTATTGCATAAGATATACTGTGATTTCAATTCTTTGCTTCTTCTTTGTCTTTAAGTTGTACACTTTCTTGTGTTGACTCAGCAGCAAATGCGTAACTTTTATAAAATTCAAGGCCTTTTTCAAGACTATTAAACTTCATCCCTATAGCTGGTTTCAACTCATTAAAGGTGCTACTTTAGGAGAAACTACTATTGTAGGAGTAGTTGGCACATTTGTGATGGTACTAAAATGACTCTCAAGTTGTTCGTTGTTCCTCATCATTTCTGTCATTAAACATAATAGAAATAACAAGTCATTAACAATTCCACAAAATAGTAACAAGTGAATATGCACCCCATTAAATGAAAGGAATGGTGTCCTTCCAACAAGTGTATTATTCTGATAGAGGATTTAGAATTACCAGGAAGCTAATTCTTCAGTGAGATCAAGTGATCGAAATGCCTGGGTGGAGGCCGCTTCCGATCTGTAATATTAGTGAACAATTAATATTACAACTTTGTCTTGACTGAACCCTTCGGGTCGAACCCAAACGAACTGCCGATCCAAACCGACGAATCAATCCGAAGGATTTGATGAGTCACTAGAGTATTACGAACACAGACGTCGGATATCGAGCCTAGGGCGTCGAGACCGAGCGTCGCAAAATCAACAAGCAACAAGTTCGAGCAAAGCCGTAGCATCACATTGGCCTAGCCATGTGGTTGCTAGGCTAGCTCGAGCTAGCATGCACTTTGCATGGCTAGGCGCAAGCCTAGACGCACCATGTGTGCTAGGCGCACCATCGCTAGCACTAGGTGCTTGCGTATGTGCGTGCCTCGCATGGCAGCACCACAGCAGCAGCAACGTGCTTGCGTGTGTGCGTGCCTCGCATGGCAGCACCAAGCAGCAAGCAGCAAGCAGCGAGGGCTCGCCCAGCGCCCAGCAGCCAGCAGCATGCGTGGCTCGCTAGCAGCACGCATGTGCTAGGCATGCTGGCTGGTGCGTGCTGTGCGTGCTAGCTGTGCTGGGCTGGCTGTGCTAGCTGGCCAACAAGGCTGGCAGCCAGCTCACCCCTTGCTTGATGCCGGTTTGAGGAGAGTAGGGACCAAGGCTTAGAGCCATGCCTTGGGGAGCTAGGCAATGGTCCCCCCATGGTCATGGTCCTCACCTAACCTCTCCTCTCCTCATGCCACTTGTTGATTTGTGATTGCATTGTTTTATAATTTATTTTGGAATTAAATAAATTAGTAGAAAATGCAACTATCCCACATTGATCATGAATGGGAAGAGCAAGTTGCATTTCCCTATAAATACCCCAAGATTGGGCATTTGGAAATCAACTTGAGTGGAACTCAAAAAGGCATCTCTTATTATTGAGAAAACCTTTAAGTTCGTAAAACTCTAGTTTTATACTTGGTCAAGTCTCGACTAACCCTTGAGACGAAGATCGTTCGGGTCGGGTCGTGGGTACGAGCTGTTGGAGGCCGTCACGCTTGTGAGGCTTTAGGCTTCGAAGTTAGAGCTCGGTTTACGAGCGAAGCACGCTTCAAGGGTATTACTTCTTTATCCCTTTTCTTAATTATTGTTTAATTATATTTATGCATGCTTTTTTGATTTAATTATTGGGGTGGGTCTTGGGCGGGTTTCTCTTCCGCGTAGCGTTGGACGTTACCAAACCCAACATTAAACACACTTACATACACACTCTCAATTTTACCATCCCAAGTTCATTATTCCACCACAAGCTTTCCCTTTAACTCTAATCCACCCCACCACACCACTCTAATCCACAAATTCCCTCCACTTTATTTCTCTCTCCTCTTTTTTCTTCACAATAATATGGGCACTTTCTCTCTTCTAGTCCTAGCATTAGCATTAGCTACAGCTACCTTTTTCACTACTTTATGCAATCATGATAATGAGCTGAATGCCATTTCTCACCCTCTTCCTTACACCGTACCACCACCACCACCAAACTCTCTCTCCTTCCTCCGCCCCTACCCCTGCCCCTGCACCCTACCACCACCACCACCACCATCACCACCACAACCTGTCTCACTCTCATTCCCCTGCCGCCGCCCCTATCCTCTGCACCCTACCACCACCACCACCATCACCAACTTATTTTGCTCATTTTTATATTTGCTCTTTTTTTTTTTTTTTTTTTTTTTTTTTTGTATTTGCTCATTTTAATTATGTTTGTTCATTATATTTTTTCTATAATATTACACATATTTAGGTTTTCTCATTTTCAATGAAAGATCAGTATTTGACACTAAATCATCTGTACCAACCAGCAATTTGACATAGATCTTCATGCGAGGCAAATTGATAAATCACGGAAAAAACGAATTGATGAATCGAAAAAAAAATCGAACTACTTAAATCGAACGAAGAAATATGCAAAAAATAATAAAAAAAAAACGCATAAAAATCGCAAAAATCAGGAAAAAATCAATAAAAATAAAATTGATGAAATTGGCATATAAAATCGCACAAAAATTGAACAAAAAATCAGATTATGAAATCGCACAAGAAGTCGAAAAAAAAAAACGAACAAAAATTAAACAAGAAACTCACAGGAAATTGAACAAAATTCAGAAATTAACATGCAATTGAAAAATATTATGTAAATTTTGATGCTAAGATTAAACTAAGATCGTTGAATTTACAAAATTTACAAAACTAAGAGAATTACAAACCTCAATAATTTATGGTAATTGATACTCGTGAATAAGAAGAGGAGAAAGAAATTATCGAGTTTAAAATTTTAATTAGACGCCATTGATAAAACCTTGAAGCTTCGTGGTGGAGAAAGAGCAGAGCAGAAATTGAGTGGTGGAGAGAGAGCAGAGCAGAAATTGAAGCTTCGAAACAATTAAGCATGGTTGTTAGGAAAGGTTTATATCATTAATCTCAACTGTTGGATTTATTACAATCTAATAGCTGAGATTTGTTCTCATATAAGGGATAGATTCTCACATAGAGGGTGGTTATATATATATATATATATATACACATAGAGAGAGAGGAAGACTCATATAAGAACCCTCCTCTATATAAGAACCCATTATATATAAGAACTAATCTGGACCGTAGGATTAGATTTGATATGACCACTCAAAATGAATTGGTTAGTAATGACACTTTTGTAATTTTTGATGCACACTTTCCTCTTTCTTTCTCCTCATTCACAATTTTACGGTTTCTATCCCCTTTCTTTTTCTCTCTAGACTTACATCAAACAGCTCTCTCCTCTCGTAATTTTGGGTGCAAATTCCTTCAAGAAATGAAGGTTTGTTATTGAATTCTTATGATTCAATTCTTTCTATTCATTATATTCTATTTTATATATTCTCATGATTTTTGTTGCATTTTTTATGCGTTTTTTCTCAATTTTTTCCCTGATTTTTGTGATTTATATGCTCTTTTTATGTTTGATTGATGCTTGATTTTCGATTTAAGTTCGATTTTAATTGATTTTATGCGATTTCTGAGCGATTTTTTTGATCGAATTTATGTGATTTCTGAGAATTTCATGAGCGCATTTCAGAGCGATTTTTTGAGCGATTTTTTGATTGAATTTATGCGATTTTTTGGGCGATTTTTTGGGTCTATTTTTGTTCCAATTTTTAATGTTTTGTTGCTTTCGATTTTAATTTCATCTTATTTCTGTTCGATTTTTTTTGTACGATTATTCAGTTCGTTTTTTGTTTGATTATTCATGTATTCTGATCGAAAATGTATTTGTGGCTAGGAAGGTGACACCATGGTTAGGGACTTCTTTACTAACTATAATAATTGTAGGTGTCATAGCAGATTCATACTTAGGAAGATATTGGACTATTGTTATATTCTACACGATTTACTTCATTGTAATTTATGGATTTTCCTTTCATTAAGTTCCTTACTTTCTATGTTGATCTTTAATTTTGAATACTTTAGGATCTATTAGTTCTAAACCATAATTAATTTGAATATGTTATCTATTTCTCTTTTGGTTTGCTAATTATCCTAGATTTATTAACCTTTTGCAATTCTTGCTACCTCTTCATATCAACTATGCAGTTAATATGGTGGTCTTTGATTTCGGTTTAATTAGCAGCATTTGGTTACATTGACAATACTTGTAATTTTACCAAACCGAGTTCTTGGCATTTAACATGCCAAAACCGAGCACTGAAGATAATTGACGTGTTAAATTTGGGTAGTTGACAATCTTTGGTTGGTGGACTAGTGCTACAAATACTCTGTTTCACTTGTTTACATGGCCTTTTACTTTAAGATTTTTTCTGAGTAATCATAGCAGTTTGTTGTGACTGTGGTCATTTTATTTGCTCCGACTTTTTTTAACTAATCCTTCAGTTTGATTTATGCTAGTTCTATAGTTCTTACTTAACTACTACAGTATTTAATGCATAACTTTAGAATTATTTGTGAGCAGGTGTTGAAAGATGACATACATATGAAAATTTAGAACATAGGAAAATAATTTTAGAACATAAGCAATAAAAAGAAAAAAAAAATGAACATGAGAAAAAAAAAATAGCACATGGAAAAAATTTAGAACATGAGGAAAAAATTTAGAACATAGGAAAAAACTAGAACATAAGAAAAAAAAAAAAATTAGAAAATAGGTTAATAAAAATATTTAGAATATAAGCAAAAAAAATTTAGAGCATAATGAGAAAAAATTTAGCACATAGGTTTGGAACATAGGGGAAAAAAAATTAGAATATAACTATATAAGTAGAAAAAATTTGAAACATGGGAAAATATTTGAAACAAGTGCTCATTTTATTTGTTTGGTTGACCATAGTTAGTAAGAGCAAGGGGAGTTAAACTTCACCAAAAATGAACCACTGACCACAAAAATATGTAAACAATGCAAGTTTTTTTTCAACTTGTAGAACCAAAAATCTTTGTTAGCTAGTGAGGAATTGAGGATAATATAAGCTGGGCTACATGTAATTGATGGGCTTTAGAAATAAAGTGCATGATATTGATTATTACTCGTACAGTCATACAAGGCTAGTCTAATATTGTCTAGTAGTTGTTTATATCTTCTAATATAGTAGGTAAGTTTGAGTTGTATATTTATTTGAATATTTTATATACATTAGCCTATTAGCTCAACGGGTAAAGCATTGTGTAAATGCACAAAAGATGTGGTTCGAATCCCACGTGGGTTCATTTGTTTAGTGTATGTATGAGAGTTTGTATGAGAGGTCAGTTGTAACAAAGTTTCCATATTCATTTCATTTCAAGCCAATTTTTTTCTCATATAAATAAATGAAAATTTGATTTACATTTTTTATTTATCAACTTTACAGCTATTATGGTTTACTTTTGAAGATATTTTTAGTAATGCTTAGAGATAACTTATGTAGGAATCGAACCGCTCTATCAATTGAGCTAATAGGTTTTAACATATGTTCTAAATCTTAATTACACATGTTCTAAAATTTAGTGAAATGTTGTAAAATTTTCAGCTTATGCTCTAAATTTTTCTGCATATGTTTTAACATAAAGTTTTATATGTGGTTGGGCACACGGTGTGACCAACCATTATAGGATTAACTCGTCAGTGTTATAAGTTAGGGGTTGCTCGGACAGTGATACTCGTCATTATATTTTGTCTATGTCCTAAATATTTTGTCCAATGTTCTAAAGTTTTTTTTTTTTTTATTTTTTTTATTTTTCCAATGTTTCAAATTTTTATTTTCTATGTTGTAAATTTAATTTCCTACGTTCTAATTATATGTTCTAAATTTTTTTCCTATGTTCCAAAGTTTTTTTTGGCCTATGTTCTAAAATTTTCTACCTATGCTCCTATGTTCTAATGTTTATTTATTTATTTTCATATGTTCTAGATTTTTTTTCTTATGTCCTAAATTTTTTACCGCTTATGTTCTAATTATTTTTTTCTATGCTCTAAACATATGTTCTAAATTTTTATCCAATAAAAAGATCTATGTTCAAATGTTTTTTCCCATGTTCTAAATTTTAATCCTATGTTCTAATTTTTTTCCTATGCTCTAAAATTTTCTATGTTCTAAAGATTTATCCTATGTTCTAAATTTTATTTTCCTATGTGTAATTTTTATTTTTTCTCATGTTCTTAAGTTTTTCTACCTATGTTCTAAATTTATTTGTCTATGTTGTTAACTTTATAAGAATTTATCTTATGTTCTAAATTTCTTTTCCTAAATATGTTCTAAACCTATGTTATAAACCAACAATGTAATTATTTTTTTCTTATATTCTAATGGTTTTTTTTACTAATTTACTATGCTTTAATTTCTAAACATATGCTCCAAAAAATTTTCCTATGTTCTAAATATATGTACATGATTTTTTTTGCTATGTTTTAAACTTTTTTTGTTGCCTATGTTCTAACTTTTAATCCTATTAAAATAACACATACATGTTCAATTTTTTTTCTTAAATTCTAAATTTTAGGAATCAATGTTCCAAAATTTAATTTTATCTGATGTTCTACATTATTTTCCTATGTTTTTTTTTTTTTTTTTTTTTTTTTTTTTTTTTTTTTTTTTTTTGCAATGTTCTATTTTTTGTTCTTATGTACTAATTTTATTTTTTCATGTTCTAAATTTTTTTTGTCTATGTTCAATAAAATTTGTCTATGTTCTAAACTTATGTTGAGAGCCTATATTCTATTATTTTCCCCCTATGCTCTAAAATCATTTCCTATATTCTTACCTTTTCCATCTATGTTCTAAAGTTTTATGTGTGTTCTAAATCTCTTCCTATGTTCTAAACCTATCTTTTAAGCCTATGTTCTAATTTTTTTCCCTATGTTCTAAAATTATTTCTTATGTTCTAAATTATTACATTATGAATTATGATCTAATTTTTTTTAAATTTTTTCCTATATACAAAAATAATTAGGCTATAAGGAGATATGATTAAGTTTTTTTTGAAGGTTTTTTGTATATAGTTATTTATAAATATCTCCTATGTAGGATTTGAACCTACATCATCTATGCATTTGCATAGTACTCTACCACTTGAGCTAATAGGTTTTTGATATAGTTCAACGCCCTCCCAATGAAGCAGAGGAAAACAATCACATGTAGAAACTCAAATGCCTCCATTATGACTACAACAGCCACCATAGCTCATAAATTACCCAACACATGCTCACCCAACACAACTACTACTAGGAAGGACTATCAAGTAAATTACATCAGTCTGACTAGAAAAAAAATATAGAGTTGGATGTTCATCCATTGATTCCATTCCTATAAAATATAATGCAAATTTATCTACTGCAAGTGCTAACCTAATTTCTTACTATAATACCCTTATTTTTACATGAACTAACCTAAATGACTAAATTTGTGCAACTAACAGTAAATGCTTCAATATCATTTGCAATCTCATATGAACTCTAACAATGAACTATCCAAACCAACATTCCAGTATATTTTTCAGAGGTAAACTTACTAAATGAAAATATCAAAAATTCCTCGGACAATTATAGTACAAAAGTGAACAAAATTGCAATACAAAATCAAATAAAATTGGAGTACAAAAATATTGGAAATTCGGAAAACATCGAACAAAATTGCAGTTGAAAATTCCAACCATAAATTGGAAAAAAAAAATAACTAAAAAATCGCAGAAATCAAGCCCTAAAATAGCAGAAAATAAAATGTTTATGCAACTTCGAACATAAAACAAAAATCAAACATAATTGATGCAAGTTCATAACAAATTCCTTAAAAATTCGAAAAAAAAAATTAACAAAACCGCTGAAATTAAATTGCTTGAACAAACATACCTTAATATTCCAAATTGCGAGAAATGACTAGAAATCGCTAAAAAAGTCCTTCAATATGCTCTAATAATGGAGATTTTTGTGGGTTTGAGGAGAGAGAAAATGATGAGAGAGAAAACGACATGTTTTTGTGGGAGGAGATAGAAAATTAGGATTTATATGGAGTATTATCTTATTACTTGATTTCCTTTAATCGTGACCGTTTAATTCAATCTAATCGTACGGATTAGATTAGTTCTTATATACACTTGGGTTCTTATATAGGGATGGGTTCTTACTGGATCCCTCCTATATATATATATATATATATATATATATATATATATATATATATATATATATATGTATATATATAGGAATAGGATCATGTAAAAACAAGTGTTGAACTAAAAACTGAAAACTTTAAATCTGAGCCGTTCATCAAATCGTATGGCTTAGATTTGTTTCCTCTTATTTTCAGACATTTCTGAATTTCTCTATCCTCTTTAATTTTCACAGGTTATTTTGTCTCTCCTCTCTTCTCTTTCGTACTTTCTCTCTCTTCAACCAGCTTCTCTATGTGTGTTTCTCTTTCTTCGTTCTCTCTCTAAACGTGGCGGAAGGAGGAAGGCGGCGAGTTTTGGTGGATTCGAGTTTCAGGAGAAGCGGCTAAGGTATTTTTGGAGGTTCGATCTGATATTTTTAATTTTTTTGGTTTTTTGATATCTCGAAAATTAGGTTCTCGGTGCATGTCTGATGTTAGGGCTTCTTTAATGTTTAGTTTCTGATCCGTGTTGTTGTTATATTATTGTATATTGTGGAATTTGCTGGAACTTTGATTTGATTTTCTCAATTTCCAGTGCGATTTTGCGACTTTTGCTCATCAATTTTTTCGACTTTTTTTCAATCAATTTTGTTCGATTTTGTTTATTTTGCGATTTTCTGTTCGATTTTGTTCAATTTAGTTCGATTTCTTGTTTACTAATCGATTAACTTTAGTTTCTTCCTTAATTTCATTGAATCGGAAAAAAGGAATTACGTTTAATTTAGGCGAATTTTGAGTAATTCGAAGTGTTTTTAGTGGATTTGAAAATGAAGAGCCTGTCTTTTGAGTTGGATTAGGTGATGAATTCTCGCTTAGTTTGGGCCTCGGGTTTGGAATTTGTCTTGGCCTTGTCTGAATTGTCTCTGAAGTTGGCCTTGAAGCTGGTTGCAAGGATTACATGCATAGACAAGTTGTTAATCATTTATGTAATTAGTATAATCATGCAAAGTAACATGTCAGATTTGGCATAATTATGTTATGGAATAACCAATACAACTAACATGAAGTATATGAAACATAGGTTTCTTACATTAGAAGGTGCAGGGACTTGTTTGGCTTCAGTGCTTTTGATCAGCTGCATTAACTCCAAATGTTCGCGATATGCTGTCTCCCTCTTAATTGCAAGCTCAGCTGAAATCTCATACTTACCCCTTGCACTACCCATATTTTAGTTTTCAAAAGACTGTCAAAATCAGATTACCAGGAAGATATGGAAGAAGAGACTGTTAGGATATTATATATAGTCTGAGTGTCTATGTAGTGGGATCTCAAAGATGGTGCATATATATTTTTCTGATGAAGAATGTGGAGGCTAATCTTGTGATTTGTTTTATTTGTCCTTTGGGAGATTGTATGTATGTATTCCTTTTGCTCCTTTTGGTTTGGCATGTAGTAATATTTATAGGTTATTGAGTAGGCCCCTGTGGGGTTTTAATATACTAGAGCTGTTGAGGTTGTACAATGCTTTCAAGACCATTTATAGAATGTTTGTCGAAGGGTTTAACAGTTGAGACCTCATGTCATGGACATGAAATGAGAACCAGATCCTATTGGCTTATTAGTTTGAGGCTTGTTCTTGTCCCCATCTTATAATTTTTAGTGATGATCATAAATCATTCACTCTTGTATAAAAATAAATTATAGATTGTAGGCCCCTATGTCATTATAAAGGTTACTATATTATTCTAATTCTGAATAATTTTGAATTGTTATAATTTCTAATTTACGTGTTATAGGTACAATAATTCTGAATTGTTATGGCTTTGCTCAACAATTGTACTATGGGTTGGTCATTGTATATATTATATTCGTAATAATTCCGAATGATTTTCTCACTTTTTGTTCATTTTTATTCGATTTGGATTAGATTGTATTCATATGGTGAGAACTAGAGGTAGTGCGACTTTTAAAAAAAGGAGAGGCCTTCGTAGCTCAACAGGAGTTAATTTGCAAGATATAGAAGGTATGATGAATGTTTGATTTTTTTATTATTATACCTTAATATTCAATTTTTTGAATTATATGATGTTAATGTATTGGAGTTAACTAGTAACACCTGTTAATATAGCTAGTTGCCTCTGTTATGATAGACTCCTAATACTATAGAATGTAGGTCCCTATATCAATATAAAAGTTACTATATTATTAGTTCTCTATGTAACTGAAAAAGGTCACTATATAATGACAATGATTATTATTTAAGTTATTAGTTTGCTATATTATAATTGTTTGCTAGATAAAAATGAAGATAATTGTATATATAATTATATGCTTGAGTGTTTTTGGTATGCTTATTCTTATTTAAATTATTTGTTTTGCATGTATCAATCTCGATGATGAAGATGAAGAACATATTGATGGTGGAAGCAAAATGATTGATGATGATACTAACAGAGATAAAGGGAAACAAATAGAGACTGTCAAAGATGTTGAAATTGATAAAGATGCTTGGATTAGTAAGATGCCAGGGATGCCAAAAAAAGGATTGAAAAAGACTATCACTAAGAAGTGGAATGAGTCTTGTTCTTCACATGCTATTGTTTTGTCAGCTAAGAAGAGAAAGTTGGATAAAAATGAAGGCCGTAAAGTGAAGAAAGTGAAGGCAAATAAGGATAAGAAAATTGTGATTCATAGGCAAGAATCTGCAATCGTAGATGGTGATGTACATATGTAAGTGAATTTTTGTTTTGTTTTTTTTTTTTTTTTTTTTTTTTTTTTTTTTTTTTCTGAAGTTTTATTTTAAAAAAAGGTCATTATGTTATAAAAAGAGGCAACTACGTAAAAATAGTCTTTATAAACATATGATGTTATGTTTTATCAATATTATTGTTACATAGTATATTTAAATATAATACTAGTGACATGCATTCATTTTTATTTCTTTTGTTATACCTTCTAGGCTTGGTAATTCTATTAATAAATACTTTGGTTTCTTATTTTCTCCTCCTTGTTTTTTCTTTTTTATTAAACCGTTATTAGGTATCTCTGTTATTTTCTTAATGTGATTCTTTCTATGATACTAAGTGTTTATCTTATCGTATGTCTTATTACAGGGTGCAACGAGGATTTAAAACATGTTGTAGGCCATTTCATTTAGTAGAGATGATTAAAAAAATTTCAGATGATCAAATCAAGGCTGTGAAAGAAATTGGCTTTGGAGGTTTGTTATCTTTGAAGGTGAAACGAACTGCAACTGATATGTTATCATGGTTGGTAGATTGTTTTGATCATGGTAGTTGCATGTTTACTATTGATAGTAAAAAGGATTTTTTCGTGACTGAATTTGATGTGTATGATGTTTTTTGCCTTCCTTGCAAAACATCTAAGAAAGTTGAAGAAATTTCTCGTTGTGCTAATGTCATCAACCCTGATTATGATTTATAGATTAAATGGAGGTCTCATTTTGGTCTTATGGGTGAGAATGATCAAATTCCTTTGAGTTTTTTGGAATCTACGATCCCTTTACTAATAGATGGCGGGGAAGAATTCAGACAACTTTTTATCATGCATGCTTTTTCAAGTTTTTTAGCACCTACGTCCAACAGAACTGTGGATTTGAGAATTGTAAAATGTTTGGTTGATGTTAATCAAATAAGAACTTATGATTGGTCAAAATATGTCTTAGATAGACTTTGTGAAGCTGTGAAGAGCTGCAAAGAAGGAAATATAGAATGGTTTTGTGGTTGTGTTTTGATGTTAGAGATTATCTATTTTCATCGATTGAGGTTTAGGAATGTTGTGTTAAATTCTACAATACCTTTAATTCAACATTGGACTGATGTGGATATAAGAGATATAATTACAAAAGAAAAGTTGTCCAAGGGTTTTGGTGTGGCATTCTTGAGTTTGATACATATCCAGTGAGTGAGAAGTTTCAATTTGAGGATGGACAAGTTGTTAATAATCAATTCAAGGAAGCTCCTGGAAAAGAATGTGTTGTTTATGAAGGTGTTCGTAGCAATGTTAAGGGTGTTATTCAGTATGAGCTACCTGCTAGTTCAATGTCTAATGAGGAAATCCGTTCAATCGCTATTGATGTAAGTATTTTACCCTTTAATTCTGTGTTTTTTTTTCTCTGTCATAAATTATTTTACTAAATCTAAGTGCTACATTTTTTTTTTCACAGGAAGTTTATGAGAAGTTTTTGCTCATGAAAAGAGATTTGGAAGTGGTATCAAACTTCTACATGGATGAGTTGAAAGTCTTATTTCAGACTCATAAACTTAATGATGCTTCCACTTTGATACCTCCAATCTCCCAAACTGATTTATTCTTTATGGATCCTCGTGTTCATGAAATTGTTGATGAGATTGTGTCTCTTGTAAGTTGGGTAAAGATGCTGATATTGATGATAACGGTGCACCTGCAAAAGAGATTAATGTTGTAGTTGGTGAAGTTCCAAGGATAGGTTTTGAGCATGTTTTGAGTAATGGAAAATCTAAATGTTCCCTTGCTATGGATGTTAGTCTCCAGGAATTTACCATGGTTTCAATCTCAAGTAAGTCATGTCATGGTTCTTTTTGTTATTTATTTTTCAAATTTTAATAATAAGTGACAATGCCAATATACATGTGTCTTTTTATTTCCTTGTACAGTGAGTTGTTGGTATGTTTTGGCATCCCATTTGAGATTACAAGGAATGAATTCCTTTCATTAGGTGAACCGACTATTGCTATATCTTCTGGTATTATTGATTGTTAGGCTTTATTGCTTAATGAAAACCAGAAGAGTAGTGCACATGGCCCTCAAAAACTATATTTTGGTGTCTCTCAAAGTGTGAGTATCTTTCGCCTATTCAGTTACTATATCATTATAAAGGTAGCTATTCATTATAAAAAATTCATAAATTAACTTCACTATGTAATGAAAACAGTCACTATGATTCATAAATTAATTTCACTATGTAATGAAAACAGTCACTATGTAATTCAAGTAATCACATTTAAAAATAATAACTCTACCTTTTATTTGTTTTAATATTTATTAATGTTTGATCTTTTTTAGGCTTTTTTACTGGAAGTTGCAAACAAAGATAGTAACACACAAGACATTGACAAGCTATTTGACATTTGGTCAAGATGGTTGTTCATTCCTTGCAATGATTTTGATATTGCAAATGTTGAGTTGGTAATACATTGCAAATGTTGACTATCATTTTTCAACTAAGTACTTTTATATTAAGTTTTTCAAGCTTAATAGTTGTTTATTTATTGCAGATATTTGTTCCTATACTCTTGAGTGAGCACTTTTTCCTAATTGTTGTGAATTTGAAGGAAGAAAAGCTTCAGTTCATTGATAATATGAGTTATGATACAAAGTACATGAGTGAGGTTGAGAAGTTCTCTAATGTTCTGGTAAAAATACGATGTTTTGGATTTTATTTGTATTTTTGTATTTAGGATATGCTGCATGGAACCTAAAGTTTTACTATATTTTGCCTAGAGTGATATGCTGAGTACTTTTCTTGATCAACGCCTTCCTCAAAGTAATGACTCAGTGAAGAACATGGTTGAGTATACTTTGGAGTCGCCTTCTCTAAATTGGAAATCTGGAAAACAGAAGAATAATGATAGTGGCATTTATACTATGGTCAGCATGCTTTACTTTGATGGAGCTGATATGTTCAACTGCGATGTTTTGAAAACGGTTATCTCGTCTCATTTTTTTTATTTGGCTTTCAATTTTTATTTTATTAACTATTTCCTCCATGAAATTTAACTAGCTTTTTTATTCTAATTTTTGCTTAAATTAATATATTAGGTTTCAACTAGACGGGCATTGAGAGCTCGGATTGCTGCTACTCTGGTATTGTCTGATATGAACACTGTCAGAGATGAAGTTCTTAAAAAGCTATCTGAATTCAGATTAATAAGGAGTCAAGATGCAAAAGATGTTTTTGATGGGATGAAGAAGAAAACAAAGCAAGGTAAAAAGGAAAAGAAAGTATAGGCAGGCTAACAAATATGCGGATGAAGTTTTTTGCTTAGAATTTTTTTGCACAAAAGTAGGAAATCTAATGTAATGATGTAGTTTGCATCAACAAATGGATAATCTAACGAATTTGTATAAGTGTTAATGTAGAACAATATGATATGATTTCAGTTCATACAAAGCTTTTGAATTGGTGGTATTGGTAGTTCTTTTGATATGTAATCCTTAATTGACATTCAAGAAGTTTAGTGAAATATATATTAGCTATAAACTTGGCGCCTATGTTATTAAAAATGGTATCTATGTTATTTAAAAAGGTATCTATGTTATTTAAAAGGTTTCTATATTATAAGGTCACTATGTATTTTAAAAGGTATCTTTGTTATTTAAAAGGTTTCTATATTATAAAGTCACTATGTATTTAAAATGTTATTAGTTCAATGTGTTATATATAATTAAGTTATAATGCAAAATTATCACCATATTCATTATTCTATTTTGTACACATATGTGACAAGTTTTCAAGGACCTATGATAAATATGTACCTAAAAATGCCTAACTTTTTTTTTATCTCTTAAAAAAGAAAAAAAAAAAAAACTTGAAAAAGGATATTATATGACTTTTTATAGTCACTATGTAAGTAAAATGACATTATATGAGGTAAAAATTTCCAATTACTATGCGATGCAAAAGGATCACTATGAGATACATGAGCGTTACTATGTGATTAAAAAGATTTCTATAATAATCTGTCTCTATTTAAATAAAAGGTCACTATGTAAGGTAAAAGTGTCGTATTTATATTAATCTATTCTTAAGCTATTCAATTAGTATATCAATTAAAAGAACGAGCCCCACCTTCCCTAACTTTTTATTGGCTTAATCGATGTGGGTTAGAAGAATTGTTAAAATGTGAGTATTTTTTATAACGATTGCTATATCATATTAAAGGTCATTATATCACTAAAAAGGTAACTACATAATAAGGTTCCAGTACGATGAATAAAGTCACTATGACATTAAAAACACATGCTATAATATAAATTGAAGTTATCATATGCCAATATGTCACTACATCAAAATAACAATATAAAAGTCAATAAAAATTTTAACAATAAAAGGTCACCCTATCAATAAAATTTTAACAATAAAAGGTTCCTGTTTAATATATGTGAAACAATAACAATCACTGTATCAATAAAAAGGGCAGTATAACACTATGTTTTTTCTCTCCTCTCCTCTATTTCAGCACTAAATCGTCAGTAGCTGATGTTGCTTCTTGTAAATATGAAGTCGTTTTGCAGCCTTTCGACTCTTCTTTGAAATCCTGAAATCATGTACATGAACATATATAAAGTGAAAATCTAGTGGGAAGTAAACATAGTACATAACTTATATATTTTTTTCTACAAAAATACCTCATACAAGTTGGATTTTTTTTGCGGACAATTCCGACTATCATGGTTTGTTCTCTGACCACAAGTTCTATAAAGTCTATCTTTCCTTTGGCTTTCCTCAATAGCTATCTCTTTGTCAGATTTTTTCCTTTTCCCACTACCACTACCTTTGTTGGAAGACTTGTTTGGAGGAAGAATATCAACAACTATGTCATAAATCCAACAAATAATTCAATGTGTTTATTTTTTGCCTCACGTTTATCAACTAGACTTATGGAATCCAAGTCTTTCATCTCATTTTCAAAAGATATTAGCTTAGACAACAGTGACTCAAGGCATTCAACTTTCTCCTCACAAAGACTTACACATGAAAAAAACATGTACCTTAAATCACCAACTAGCTTTTGCTTCTTACCCTTCTCTGCCCCATCAAGCAAGTTGTTTAAGCCAAAAATTGGTTTCTTCATAGCTTCTTTAGTCCAACGATGCAAAACATATTGCCTTGGAATCTCAAATAAGAACTTTCGTTCCTTTCATGACAAAGAGAATGTGACGACATAATATTCCAACAGATTCAAACATTTTACAAGAGCATGAAGCATCATTAGAACACAAAACATATGTGACATGATAGCTTTTTTCCTTGTGTTGTCAACAATTCTATATTGCTCAATCCCTTCTTCTTCTTTGATGGTAACACTACTTATACCACAATTGTACAAAGCGTGCTTGAATTCCTTTTGGAATATGTAAAATACATTATGAGTGTAAACAAATGCAACATGCTTTTCCAAGTACAGGGGGGTGACAATTTGGGGATGTGTAGTTTTCGAAGTAGCATTCAACTTGTCTTGTGTGTGCCTTTGAGCATCGATTGCAGATTCATAGCAAAACCACAACTCAACCAATAACAAATGTTGATTGGTGAAATTAGTGAAAAAGCTATTTTCACTCTCTGATCTTTGAGTTAACCTTAAAATCCCACCCATAAAAAGGTCACGAAAGTAGGAAGGAGTCCACATATTCCTTATATTATACATATTTTTAAACCAATCTTCATTCACTAAATCAAATCCAGACATCACAGACTGCCAACCAATTTCAAATTCTTCTGGTTCAAGGTCTCTATTCCACACAACAGAGTTCAGTTTATGAAGAAAGTCAGTTTCTAAGCATAATTTGGACCCTACCTTTTGTGGCACTTTTTTCATAATGTGCCACATACAAAACCTATGTTTTGCCTTATCAAGAACTTTTTCAATTGCCACTTTCATTGCAGGGTCTTGATCTGTCATGATACAGGTAGGATGACAGTTATTCATTGCCTTTAAGAAAGTTTCAAATAACCATTCAAAGGATTCAATATCCTCCTTTGCAAGTAAGCCTATCCCAAAAGTCACACACTTACCGTGGTGATCAACACCCGTAAATGGGGCAAAAACCATAGAGTATTTGTTAGTGCCAAATGTTGTATCAAATGTAATCATATCACAGAACAACGAATAATTTTTTCTACTAATTACATCTGCCCAAAATACTCTTGTCAAGCCTTGATGTTCATCCATACAATGCTCAAAGAAAAAGGCACCTTCACTGTTTTCAGCTTTTTCTTTCAAATTGTTTATAAACATTGAAGCATCTTTCTCTTGTATGTAAGCTTTCAAATTTCGATTAAAGTTCTTGAAATCATTCAATGTTGCACCTATATTATCATAGCTACCAATATGTTCTTTCATCAACTTATAAGACTTGTTTGGACCAATGTTCAATCTAGAATTGTCAAAAATGAATTTTTTCTGGCCAAGTTTAAGGTTTCCAACATTTGCCAAAAAATTCATTGTGTTGGGAGAAGCAAGATTGTGGCTATGAGATTCATGAAAGACATAAACCATCCATTTTCCGTCTGAACGTTCTCTAAACCCAATCATTGCATTACATCCAACACGATTTATGGTTCTTTTTCTAGCTTCAGGCTTTTCTTCTTTCTTAGAAACTTTTGCTTTAGTTTCACCATCCTTCGTAAACCCTTGTTTATTACAATATAAATATTTCAAGTAGACATTATCACTATCTTTAATTCTCTTTTCAATACCTAGTCTTACCACAAACCCACCAAATCTAGCATATTGCTTATAAAAATCAACACCTTTAAGTAAGGAATCAAAAAGCATACCAAGTGTAGGCTTTAGCTCAGGGGGACAACACGGTATGAACTCTTTTGTTCCTCTAGTAGTGTAACACACACTTGGGCCCTTTAGCGACGACAAGTTTTCAGCAACATTGGTAGTTGTAGATGTATTTGAGCAACTACCTTCTTCTGATTCCTCTTGCATTATCTGCATATAATATCAAATAATATGTTTTAAGATGGGTACTATAATAAAACAAATATGATCCATTCCATGGTGCAACTAACTGAGCACCAACAAAATAGTCTACAATATATGGTTATGGTATCATAAAAAAGAGTTACTATATGGTATTGAGCAAGGTGTTAGTCATTCAAGCAAATACACAAACACCTTATGTGCAACAATTTCTCCTAGTGTCTAATATCATATATCCAAGAAAAAAAAAACTTCAATACAAAAAAAAAATATTTATAATGCATATTATATTGGTTGAATCGTTAAAAAACGAAAAAAGAGCATAGAAAAAAAATGAAAGGATTAGGATTGCCAGTAAGTAAATAAGAAGTAAGCATCACAAGTTAAAGTATATACTTAAATGAAATCAATAACTCCTCCTGTTGTTTCAATGCTTTAAGGATAGACAAAGGAAGCGTGGTACATGCAAACTACGAAGGCTACATTGTTGATGAGATTGAAACTAAATTTGAAACTAAAAAACAGAGCAAATAAAGTCATTCAAGCAAAATCACAAACACCTTATGTGCAACAATAAAAACCTTCACAGATAAAATGATTGAAACTTGTAACCAGAACAATCAAGGAAATAATATCAAAATAGCATATTATATGAAAAAATGAACATAATATAAACTTAAATTCATGAAAAACGAATAAAAATCAAACATGATACATAGATAGTGATTTCAGCAACATTGATAGTGAAACGAATTGGATGAAAAAAAAGTACCTCAGAATACATTCGTCAATTTGATCTAGCAGTTCGTGATTCTTAATTGAAAACTTTTCGTGGAAATTTTGATAATTAATCAAGGAATTTTTCGAAAAAAAATTGGGGGAAAAAGGTTAACTGCAGGAGAGAAGAAGCTGAAATTTCTGGGTTGTATTTCAACCGTGAGATTATCTCATTAATCATCAACGGTTGAGATTTGTTGTTTTTAGTTTTCAACATATGCTCTGTTTCAGCGAAACCCTCCCGTGTATACACACACACACATATATATATATATATATGTGTGTGTGTGTGTGTGTGTGTGTGTGTGTGTATGTGTGTGTGTGTGTGTATATATGTGATTGATTTTTTTTTGGAATGATTCTTACATATAGCTCCACTCAAATTTATATCACATGATTCTTTTGAGGTCTCGATTACTAAAAACTAATTATAGACACCTGATTGTGTCTCCCTAAAAACCAAACCCAGTGATAAATACCTTTCACGTATTTGATTATCGAGTTAGGTGAAGAGTCGAAGAGTCTCGTGAATTCCCTTTATCTTTGACCATTTCTAACCCTTTACTTAAATGTTTTTAGCCAAAATCATTTATTTCGTGCCTTTTTACCCAAAATCATTCATTTCATGTCTTTGAAAAACATTCATTTCGTGTCATCTTTATAAAACGTTCAAACCTGTTTATTTTGGTTCATAATCCTAGTCCAATAATTGTGTAGTTGGATGGGGTTTGAAAAT